CTTTCTTGATATATAGTTGTTTAAAACAGTGTGCGTTGTAGTATAACTTTTATGTTGTTAAGCATTACTTATTTTTATTGTTAATATAAAGCCAGTCTTTTTGTATGAAGTAAATAAAATTATAGAAAAATGTATGTCCCCCTTTTTTTTAATCTGCACTCCCTATACCAGTATGGGTATTTTTTTCAGACAAATGCAGTATATGTATATGAGAGGGAAGGAGGAAGGAAGGAAGAAAGGAAGGGAGGAAGGAAGGAAGGAAGAAAGGAAGGGAGGGAGGGAGGAAGGACGGAAAGTAAGGAAGGAAGGAAGGAAGCGAGGGAGGGAAGGAGGGAGGAAGGGAAGGAGGGAAGGAAAGGGACGGGAGAGGGGAGAGAGTGGGGGGGGGTGCCATGTCCAGATATATTCTTATTCTTCCTCATCCTCTCTTTCTTCCTTCTCCTCACCCTCTTCTCTTCGTTCTCGATCACCATCCTTGTCATCTCCACCATATTTCCTCTCTCTTCTTTTTGCTGCATATAAATATTTCACAATGTCTTTGTTCAGTTATATATCTTTGCCATATATATATATATATCTATATATTATATATATAATATATTATATATATATATATATATATATATATATAATAATATATATTATTTTGCATTGTCGTATATTTATGTAGTTATCCAGTTTGATAATCAACTGGGGAATCCACTGATAAACTAAGTCTAAGAAATCATAGTGCTTATTACATACATAAACTTTCTATGACTGATTAAATGCAGATTTAATAATGGTACATCTGAATTTTTAGATGTAGTGCTTATTTAAACAACTGCTACAACCATGCATCAAATGTACCAAAGCTTTACCACGCAAGTGCCGTTAACCAGGGTGAGAAATAAAGGACTATAGTAAAGAAATACAAAAGGATGGTAAGCGAGGGGAGGGCCGATGGGATCATTGTACAATTTTTCTGGTTCTTTTTTATTACTTTTCCTCACCTTATTTCTTCTTTTTTACCTTTGTCTGTATTTTGTTCTTGAGGTTATGCTATTACCAAGGTATAGCTTAAGATGTTGACATTGAAACCATTATTATTATTATTGTTATCTTATCAGCCTTGTAGGTATTACTAGGGATTATATTATAAATTATCACTGCATTGCTGTTATATTACTAGCAGTATTCCTTCATGTCTCCCTTAATACACTGTTTTTTTTTTATCATTCATCATTGTCATCATCATAAGTTACTGTATTGTTGTTATCTTGTGAGTACAACTAGCACGTGAAACTGCTAATTGTACAATAAGTCCCCAATTAAGAATATAATGGGGACAGAGAGGGCTGTTTGATAAGTGATTGTTTGTATGTCGAAAGCTCGGGTCTCCATTACCTTTTTTCCCATTGTTTTAAAAGTTTTGTTTACATTAAGAATACCTGTAAATAAATTCCAAAAAGTATGGAACATACCTTATTACAGACCAGAATCTTGGAATTATATTGGCTGCCCGGGGATATCTTTAAACAATTTTTGGACTTTAGTACTTAAAAATGTGTTTTGTATGTAGGATATGGTTCATAAGCAGAATGTTCTTAAGTAGGGGACTATCTGTATATTGTTGGAACTATTTGAACAAAACTTCTTAGAACTACTTTTGTAGGAATTAGTAGTCACATCATTAATTTGTTATCATTATTGAGCATTATTATTATATCATTATCATATAAATTATGTTGGTACCACTGTTCTTATCATTATTTTATCATTAATACCCCCCCCCCCCCTCCCAAATCCCATGCCCGTTGTTGCCATGAGGGGCTTAGGAGATGGATTTGCTGGGCATCATCCCTACCTTGGGACTCAGGCCTCGACTCAACTAATTTTAATCTTCTCTGACTCCTTCTACCATCAACTTCCTAAGGTGTGAGAAGGATGAAAGGCTGACTGTGTGCCAATCATGAACAGCCTGGGGGAGCCATGTGCACGGTATTCCCGGTTTAGTTGTTCTAGCAGTTACCCCATAAAGGGAACCTGAGGGGTACTCCAGGAATTCATGGCCAGTAAGGAAGATTTTGGCCTTATTATGGGCAATATGGATTGCCTCTTTATCAAAGGGCCCTACCGATTTCAGTTCTCCTGACTCTAGGT